AGCCAATAATTTCCAGTTATTTTAAAAATCAATAAAGTAAGACAGAGGGAAAATAACCATCAGAAGTGGTTCATTATTTTCTTGGTGAAAATGTCTGTTTTGATGGAGTTCTGAGATTCTTTTGTGAGTCATTCACAACTGAAACTGTCTTCCTTAGTCAACCAGTCCCAAGAGTTTGTCCATTATTTGAAGAAAGTATATTTAAGTGCCTTGAATGGGGTAGATTAGCCAGGATTTCTATAAGGTTTGCATCACTAGTGGGATTTTTCACACTGTATGTTTTTTTGGCCTGTGTGTGTAATGCATGAGGTATACCAATTTCTCCCATTTTATCCTGTTGAGATAAAAACTGCAGGCCTCATTCTTATGGAAAGGTTTTATGTCTGCTTCTTAGTAGCAATTAAAATATGCATATACACACACACACACACACACACACACACTTAATGGAAATCATTTGGAAGCACGGTGTGTTTAAAATCTGTATAGAAATCTGTAAAAAAGGGAAAACCTAAGTAAGTTTTAATTTTATCATATGCATCTCTTTCCACAGACTTGGAGAGGAAATGAACCAGAAGAGTGGATCCCTCGGACATATCAAGATTTAGAAGGTCTGCCTTGTATAGTGATATTAACTGGCAAAGATCCTCTTGGAGAAACTTTTCCCAGGTACAGTTTCAATAATTAATTCTACTTTTCATTAGTTGTCCAGCCGAACTGATTATTAAAACTTGGCTGATGCACCATCATTCCGTTTGTTTGGCAGAAGCGGATTGTTTTATGCGGGGATATAGGAAATACAGTCTTCCTTTATTTTCTCTTTCAACTTTGCAGAGATACCCAGCATTTCTGGGCATGGGAGAGAGATACATCTGAGAAATATCTGTGCATACAAGCAGGGCAAGCAGGGAGGAAAAGCAAGATTTTTCTTTTTCCTTTTTTTCCTGAGACAGGGTCTCACTCTGCCACCCAAGCTAGAGTGTAGTGTCATGATCATAGCTCACCGTAACCTCGAACTCCTGGGCTCAAGCGATCATAATGCCTCAGCCTCCCTAGCAGCTGGGACTACAGACCATGCCACCAACCCCCACCCCGATAACTTTTCTGTTTTTCGTAGAGACGGGTCTCATCCTTGCTCAGGCTGGTCTTGAACTCCTGGCCTCAAGCAATCCTCCTCCCTGGGCAAAAAATTTTCCCCAAAATGGTAGGATTACAGGTGTGAGCCACCATACCTGGCAAGGATTATTATTTTTTTTTAAGTGCTTTTTCTTTGTTAATCTGCTGTTCCCAACCCACCTCAAGGATCTGGGCTCCACAGACTGGAAGGCAACAATAATAAAAGCAATGACTGAATGCTCACTCTGTGTGGCAGGCCATTCATTCCTTACGATAACATATGAGCCCAGCACTGTTATTAGCTCTATTTTATACTTGAAAAAAGTGAAGCACAAAGCAGTTAAGGTTAGTACAGCTAGGAAGTGGCAGTGCGAGGTTGACCTCACACTGAAACCCATGCTTTTAACTGCTGCCTGATGTGCCCGGATCTCCAGGCATACGTAAACACTACGTGCCTGGCCAGATAGACTCACCAACAACATAATTACTTTTGTTCAGGTCTTTGAAGTACTGTGACCTCCGGTTAATTGACTCAAGCTATTTAACTCGAACGGCCTTGGAGCAGGAGGTGGGTCTGGCATGCTGCTATGTCTCAAAAGAGGTCATCCGGGGACCCACTGTCGCCCTGGACCTCAGTGGGAAGGAGCAGGAGAGAGCTGCTGTCAGCGAGAACGACTCTGATGAACTGCTGATCGACCTGGAGCGGCCCCAGAGCAACAGCAGTGCTGTCACTGGAACCTCGGGTCAGTGCTTGCTTTTCTCTTTCCCAGATACGCGGTGGGGAGGAGTGTGGAAGGTAGAGGCTTTCACTGACACCCCCAAGGCTTCAGAGGAGTCCTTGGTGACCCTGGCATCCTCTCCAGACCTCAGCGATACTTGGAAAACATGACATTGAATAGCCACAAAATACTTCTCCGGGTAAACTTTTAAATAGGCTAAATATAATACATTTTATCAACCCCAGCCTGAACCATTTCCCTAGTCTTTCCCACCCTCAATCTGCTTACAGTTACTATATATCTCGTATTTGCACAAGGGCGCTGTTCTTCTTCTAGGTCCTAAAGCTGTAAGTTTGTGCTAAGTGGCTTAGTACCTGGCACACAACGTTTGAATGAATGACTGACTGACTTTTCTAAATACGTAATGGCAAGTGTTTGTATAGTGAAGGCTACTCTGGGGCCACTGGTCAATTGTGAAGATCCCCCATGCAGCATGCATAAAAGAGAGGCCCGTCTCTTACAGAATTACTGTATGTCTTATGGCAGCACCCAGTGTGAATTTTCTTCTGATAAATTATATTACAGCAAATCCAACAGTATTTCAATTTTTTTCTGATTATGAAAGTAACAAAGCTGGCCAAACATGGCGAGATCCAATCTCTACAAAAAATTTAAAAATTAGCCAGGTATAGTGGCATGCACCTGTAGTCCCAGCTACTCAGGAGGCTGAGGCAGGAGGATTGCTTGAACCCAGGAGTTGGCGATTGCTGTGAGCCATGATCGCACCACTGCACTCCAGCCTGGGTGACAGAGCGAGACCCTGTCTCTAAAAAAAAAAATAGTAATAAAGCTTAATGCAGAAAACTTGGAGAATGTAACAAAGTACAGAGAAGAAATTAAAAATGAAACATAACCCCACTACCAGAGGTAACCACCAACAATGTCGGGTCACATGTCCCTCCTTCTTTCCCTTTTTTGAGCTATCATTGAGATCATTCTGGATCACATGGATGATATATACAACCAAACACACACACACAATTTTGTGTCCAAAAGCACTAGTCTTCCTGTTCATTCTGTCAGCAGCTGTTGGACGGCTCTATGGGGGAGCTAAGGAGCCAGGGATCTGTGGGGTCTTCTGCCTGTAGTGACCCTCAGCCCCGGGGAGCCTGAGGACTGCCCTTCCGCTGGGTATGTCCCGCTGCTCCCCTCAGCCAGGGGGAGCCGTCTCCTGTGACCACTCAACCTCCCTCAGCCCCGCCTCTGCAGGTGCACAGCTTTCTCTCTCAGACCATTTCAGAACAGTCGAGAGGTTCAGAGGATAGTGCAGGGTAACAGGAGGGATGGGAGCCATCACACCTAGAACCTTTTGCATTCCAGCACCAGGAAGGAATGGTGAGGAGGGGGAGTCTGTCTTCCTTCCTGTGGTCCTTTAGTCACACGCCTTCCCTTCCCTTCACTCGCAGAGCTGCCCCACAGTTTTCTTGTCCTTGCTCCAGTTAACTCGCACAGAGGTAATGGTTTGCCTTTGGCTATTTAGTTTCCCTCCCACAGGCCACTCTGAGGTGATGCGGGGGCTCACTGCCCAGGGAACCCAGGGCTGTGAGGGGAAGGGCAAGGTCTCCTATAAAAAAAAGCTGGATGAGCAGGTGGAGTGACTTGGTTTTAATAACCTCCAGTCAATGGCTATTCATTCAGGACTTCCCAAGGTTGGGATTTGGCTTACATGCCTGGACAGCACCTGTCTGAGCTCAGAGAGGGCCGTTAGTCCTGAACGTAATGAGCTTCTGTTTGTCCTCAAACCAGAGTGGCTGATCTCTTTGAGGAAAAAACATATTTGAAGTTAACTGCCAAACATGCAGGGATACTTTGGGGAAGAGCAACACCTCATTTGAAGTAGATTATGCCTTCGCATGGAGACATCCCCAGCCCTGGTTTGGAAGTCCATGGAAGTGGCTGCAGCCTGGGAGTTTATCCACAGCCAGAAGTGTGAGGCCCTCAGCTCCCAGAAGGAAGCCATTGGAGTAGGAGCTGAACATGCAGCCTGTACTGGGCAGATCCAAGTGAGGTCATTTGAGGAGAGTTTAACAGAGTGACTATTACAAACACAGGGGCCTAGAAAAGGAGCAAGAGGTGATATAGAACTGGGGTCTAGTTAATCCCAGGGAGCCCTGCCCACCGCTGGACCACCACTGGGCCTGAAGTGAGGGAAGGGAACAGTTACTGGGACCTGAGCCGAAGCCCTCAGTAGAGAAAGGCGGCCAGCCTAGGGTGAGCCTGCAGGGGGAAGCCGGGGAAGAAATAACCAACTTCCTGCTGGCGTTTCCTATTGGCCAAACCCACCGAGAAGCCAGGGCAAGGGAGCAGGATGGGCCAGGGTGGACAGTGAGGCAAAGGAAGATTTCAAGCACAGGGTCTGTAGCCGCAGAGCTGCCGAGGTTTCAGCTGCTTTCCTGGCCTTTGCCTCCCTCCCAGAGGTGCCAGGAGCGTGGGCAGAGCACACCTTAGCGTCAGTAACAGGGTGGGCACCGGGTGGCTTCTGTCCTTCCTCTTTCAGGTTCCATCATGGAGAATGGGGTAAGCTCTTCCAGCACGGCTGACAAGTCCCAGAAGCAGTCCTTGACCCCCAGCTTCCAGAGCCCAGCCACCAGTGTAGGGCTGGATGAAGGGGTCTCCGCCGGCATAGCCGGAGCTGGGGAGGCTCTAAAGCAGGAGTGCGATTCCCTGGGTCCCCAGATGGCGAGCAGCACCACCTCGAAGCCTTCGTCATCCTCCTCGGGACCCAGGACCCTTCCATGGCCAGGACAGCCTATCAGAGGCTGTAAGGGCCTGCATGCGGCCCTGCCACCAATAGTGATCTTATCCAAAGCTGCCTACAGCCTTCTGGGCTCCCAGAAGGGTGGCAAGCTGCCGTCCTCCTCGTCCCTGCTGCCCCATGCTGATGTGGCCTGGGTGAGCTCCCTGCGGCCATTGCTGCACAAGGACATGAGCAGTGAGGAGCAGTCCCTCTACTACAGGCAGTGGACCTCTGCCCGGCAGCACCACGCCGACTACAGCAACCAGCCGGACCTGGCCTCTGGCACCCGGACCTTCCACCCCCGGCGGCTGCTGCTGACTGGGCCTCCCCAGGTAGGACGGGCCAGGCTGGGCCCTGCCTTAGGCTAGGGTTGGTGCATCTTCCCCAGGAAGGAAGAAGCCAGGGAACTTCTCGGGGGGTGGGGAGTGGGTGTGACAGAGCAATGATGACCTCATTCAGGCCTCTGAGAGGCAGAAGGCGACACTGAAGAACCAAGGTGTGAAATCTCTTTTCTTTTTTCTTCCCCTCCTCCAACCCCTCCCCAATGAAAAATATTTCCATCAGGTGGGAAAGACTGGCTCCTATTTACAGTTCCTTAGGATCCTCTTCCGCATGCTCATCAGGCTCCTGGAGGTGGATGTGTACGACGAGGAGGAGATCAACGCCGGTGAGTTCTGAGCTAGAGCCGTGGGGGGCAGCTGAAGGGCAAGATGTAAAGACATTAAACACCAAATCCTGGGAGTTTGCTTCTGCCTTCTGAGATTGCTACAATACCTAACTTGCAGTTATTGTGAGGTTAAAGAAAATATGCCCAGCAAATAGTTCTAAGTAAACTGTGGCCTTTTTTTTTTTTTTTTTTTAGCTCCTTGAAGTCAGGGATGGAGTATTCTACTTCTGGCCTCCGTCTCTCCACAATGTCCAGCAAGGTGCTGGGCACAGAGGCATTTTCTAAAGCCCTGTTAGGTAGATTAATTGCCTAGATGGTCACACTGCTATAAAATTCAATGTGTAGTATTCAACTGCTTAAGCATCCAGGGCACATTTATATTGTGGATATTAGTCCTTGGTTGGTTAGCTGGAGTATATCTTATATTTTAACCACAGGCTCTGAGTGAAGGCATAGGATTACTGTAATGAGATGAACACGTCCATGCGTAGAACTGAATGCTGGCACCACAAACAAAATCCCTTCCCGTTTGCAGTAAGATACAGGGGTGAGTGCTCGACAGGGCTGTGGGAGCCAGCGTGCAGAGCAGGACCCTTCCAGCCCTCTGACCCCGGGGAGACATTCCATCCTGTGGCTAAGAACAGTGGCCTCAAAACTATGGCTTCACATCTCAACCATGCTGGAGGGGACGTGTGGGGAGGCAGTGAGGCTACCAGGTAGAGTTCTCCTCAGGCCCCTCAAAGATGAGTCCAGGACAGGGAAAGCCCTCGGCAGCATCTATCAAGTTAGCTCTTGGAGATCTCACCACACTTGTTTTACCTAAATAGTTGGACCTGTTCCCTGACCAGCCCAAGGGACTAGTTTAAGTGCAGGCCAAGAGTAAGTAAGTAAAATCAGACATATTTAATCATTTTATTATGGCTTCAGCACTATTTCCATTCCTCATCAGTTCCCACCCATGATTTGAGACACACACACACGATCTTGTCTTACCATCCATGTCTCCTCGTGTCCCTAGCTGAGCTGCAGCAACTCCCCAGGCCCACCGCAGAGGAGAACCAGAGCTCCAGGTTGACTCAAAACACCCCAGACCCCCGGAAGTGGGAAGGGCCCAGAAGGGCAAAGCCAGAGCCAAGCAGACTGGGAGTCGGGCCCTGGCATTCCTGCCAGCTTTCCCACCAGGCTCCTTGGCACCACAAGGAGTGATGCCTTTGGTTTTATCCTCGGGTCATGCTACAGTGATCTTGAATCTCACCCTGTGTCTGTTACAGCCCACTGGACAGGAGAACCTGGCCTTTGTAGTGAGATACACTATTAGTTTGCCTTTCTTCCTTCTCCCTCATTTTAGCGCAATGGTGTTCTGAACAGGCACAATGACACCTTTTTAAAAAACTAGAATAATCCTGAAACTTTAAATAAAGCACAAACTTTAGCTCAGGGATAGAAAAATAAACGGTATTACTCGTGTTAAAAAATAATAGCTGTACTTCCAGTCTTTAGACTTTTTATGAAAGTTTATTTCTTCCTTTATCCCTTTGAAAGTTGTCTTAAGCTACTTTTTGATTCTATAAATTTTAATTATTATTAACAATAATCCTCTGTTGGATACCTGCCGTGTGTCTGCCACTGTCTCAGTGCTTGAATACACTGATTGAACTGTTCTGGGCTGTGTGGCTTGAGTGTGGGGAGCCTTATAAGCTCCCCAGGTGACTCTACAGCAATAATGTGTGGGAAACATTGGGAATCTTACTCAGTGCATCCTAAAATCTCTTGGATGTCAACATCTTAACACCCCACAGCTAAAATTGTAAAACGATTGAGATCATCAAAATTAATCAAGCTTTTAAGGATATTTGGGGTAGGTGGAAGACTGGGTTGATTTTATAGATATGGGAGTTTATAAACTGGGTCTGTAGAGACTAATGCTGGGGGGCCAGTGAGGACAAACATTCCTTTCAGCTTGGGGCTAAAGAATTCTTGCTCCTTCCACCCTGGGACAGAGAAGCTCATTTTTCAAAAATGCCTCTGTCCACCCATCTAGGCTTTATGTTTCATAAAACCTCACTCCCTGATACTTGGGAGGGAGGAAGGTCAATCTGCCTCCTCTGTGCACCGTCTTCTTGTCCTAGATCACAGTGAAAGCAGTGAAGTGAGCCAGTCAGAGGGAGAGCCGTGGCCTGACATCGAGAGCTTCAGTAAAATGCCTTTCGACGTCAGTGTGCATGATCCCAAGTACAGTTTGATGAGCCTGGTATATACTGAGAAGCTGGCAGGGGTCAAACAAGGTCAGTGCAATTGGAGCCAAACTTACCTTCTTTGAAGGTCATGGGGAACCTAAATCGGAGCAGGAGGCCTGGGGCAGTTAAATCTTTGAGGGCAGCTTAAATCTGTTTTTCTCTTTTCTCCCTTACACACATGCATATCATCTTTTAATTTTCAAATCTGCTTCTCAGAACATAAATTATTGAATCCTTGGAAAAATCCTTTTGGGGAATAGGGGACATTTTTCCCCAGGCATAGGGGAGACGTGTTATCATAGGATTATTATTTTTTTTTTTGCCCCTTTAATACACAGAAGTAATAAAGCAATCCAAAGTTGAGGAACCCAGGAAACGAGAAACTGTGTCCATGATGCTGACCAAATATGCAGCCTACAACACTTTTCACCACTGTGAGCAGTGCCACCAGTACATGGACTTCACCTCTGCCTCCCAGGTGCAGCTCCCACCTTTGCCCTTGGACCTGTTACCCAATATGGCTTTTGTATGACAGGGTAGGGGGTGGAGGGATGAAGTTTCAGGCCCTAGGTAAAGGATAGCTTATGCGAAAGAGTCACTCATTGGCGAGAAAAACGTATGAAGCAATGATTAAATCAAATTTGGGCTTATTGGGGTTATTAGAGAGGGAGGGGAAGCAGCTTAGTTTTGGTGTCTTAAATTACTTCACCAAAATGGTTACAGGTGTCATGTTTAGGTTAGAAAGTAGCTGAGATGTTTATCTGTGCCCCATATATTATGGTATACTTGGGAAAGGGTCTCCTTACAGGCCATGCTGACTGTACTCCCCCAAACCTTCTGTTCTTCAGGACCAGGTCTTCACCCTTTTCCCGTATCTCATCCTGAAACACACATGGGTACTAGAAGGGATGTGCTTAAAAACTGATGGAATCATCCCGCCCTTCTAATGCAAGTTACCTTTTATATCACATTTTTTTTCTTGGTGTCACTGAAAACTTTTGGAGGTCTACTTTGAAATCAGCTCACAATGCTTTAAGAATATAAAAGACCCAAGTCCCTCGGTCTATAGATCACAGGTTTTTAAAAAAGTCTCTTTATTAAAGACCCTCTATTCATATAGTTTCTGTGTCATTACAATACTTATTAAGTAGTACATTCCCACATTTGTGAAGCAGAATAAACTAGAATTTAAGGAAAGAAGTACAATATTTTTCTATGAAATGTAGTATTTTTGTTAAAAACCATTAGGAAACCCACCTGAATTCTAGTTGCTAATGAAAATTGATGTTATCCTTTCACTAAGCAAAATATCACCTGCATTGTAAAGCACATAAAAAGACCTATTATATAATTGTCCGCTGAGATGGGTTACTGAGAGCATGTGAACTTGCCAGCAACTTTAAAAATAGGTTAGATTTATATTTGGCTTCAGTGAGTCAAATGGTCTCTCCCTGAAGCCAGAGTTCTGAGCTAAATGACTGTTCAAACCTCTTCAACTTCCACTGTAAAGATGGGGCAACAGAGGCATTTTAATATCAGTCCTTATATTTTATTTAGAGAGCTGATACTCATTTGACCTGACCCACACAGAGAAGTGTTTTCCCCCATAACCAGGGACCTCTGGGAACGTGTACATAGCAGGACATCCCACAGGTGTATCTGACCTCTGCATAAGACTGAGCAGTTGTGGCTCGAAGAGCATGAGGAATGCAAAGACAGTGCCAAGCAATGAGTACTTCTCCTCCCATGGAGATGCTGGTTCTCATGTTCGTGGCAGCTACTAAACAATGAAGTGTTTGCCTTCCCAACACTTTAAATGTTGCCAGAAGGTCTGGTGGCATTTTTAAGTTCATGTCAGTTCGCCTCTCTTAATAACAACCTACCGGAGAAGGGTGGAAGTTTAGAAACCATGAACTTACGTTACCTCCCTTTCTTCTTTGCAAATGTAGATGTCTGACTCCACCCTTCATGCCTTCACATTCTCTTCCTCTATGCTGGGAGAAGAGGTTCAGCTCTATTTCATCATTCCCAAATCCAAAGAGAGTCATTTTGTCTTCAGCAAGCAGGGCAAACACCTGGAGAGTATGCGGCTGCCCCTGGTTTCAGACAAGGTGGGTGAAAGCATCAGGACACAAGGACTGCCAGGCACTAGATCAGGGTCTCTAAGCTTCTCATATCTAAGGGCTTTAATTTCCCTTTTTGGTCTGTTTTTATCCTTTCAGCAGAATTTGAATGCAGTCAAGAGCCCTATTTTCACTCCTTCCAGTGGTCGCCATGAGCATGGACTCCTAAACCTTTTCCACGCTATGGAGGGCATCAGCCACCTTCACCTTCTGGTGGTCAAAGAATATGAGATGCCGCTGTACCGCAAGTACTGGCCCAACCACATCATGCTGGTGCTTCCCGGCATGTTCAATAATGCAGGCGTGGGTAAGGGGCCCCCCTGGGGTGGGGAGAAGGTCTGAGAAGACAAACTGAGTTCCATTCCCCTGGCACGAAACTTTCAAAGGTTCTCCTGCCTCTGGAGAGTCCTGCTCTCCTAATCAAAGGTCTTTTGACTCCTCTTTGAATATGAGTTTTCTTTTCCCCCTTATCTGCAGTTTTGTAGCATTTCTGAGAACGAGTAAGGAAGATGATATATGGAGCACCCTGGGAAGGATTTGGGGTTGTAGGCTGCAAATGTTCCTGGGTTGAGCACTGTGGGGCAGCAATGTAACAGTGAGAAAATAGATGGTCCGAGGGAGGGAGGGAGAGGAGAGCAAGTGGTTCCCCCAGATCAGGAGGGGTCCCTGAGTTATCGCATCCTAAAGGCACATGGAAAATTCCCAGAGAGCTGCTGTACAGCCGGGGAATTGTAAGCATCATTACTGCCTAAGATACAGCAAAAGTGCCTGGAAGAAGTCTTTCCTGCTTTTCCTCACGGGGTTTAAGAGCAATGAGCTGATTTCTCAAAGGGGGTTCACGGTTGCTGAATGTATGGCAGAGCTATGGGGAGGCACTGGAGATGTCTAGAACCTTTTCATTCTCCTCACTCAGACAGGAAACCTCCACCTAAATCTATAGTGTTTTTTAGAGCTGTACTCTTCTGGGCACTTCTTGCACTGTAGTTCTAAACAGTTTTTCCCATCAGATTCTGGAGGTGTCTAACTCAGCGCCAAGCAGCTGAAGGATTTGGGATCAAGAGCTGCTAATTCTTATGTTAAAGGAAAGTATTAACGCCCAGCTTAGAGCTAGAGTGGAAGGCAGATGAGACCTGAGTAGTTTTCTTGAACCTCCAAGTTTCTTCTCCCCAGGATCTCCTACTTTCCCCACTTAGCTTCTGTCTCTCCCTGCGCCTGTGCGTTCATCTCCTTCCCTGCCTTTATTGGCCTCTTCCCTTCTTGTTCCTTTCTGCTCCCTTTCATGTCCTTCAGCTTCAAACAGCCTTAATAAGGGATTAAAATATTTTCAAAAGTAGCTTTATTGTTTTCAATAAAATTTTATTTTCCACATTTATCACTTTTGATATAAAGTGAATTAAGATTTTTGTATATTTCTGGTCCTTTATCCTCCTCAAACCACCGATCTTCAAACTAACTGAAGTCTTTTTTATTTATTTATTTTTTTGAAGTCTATTTTATACGAATATAACCCTCTTTTGTGCCTAACTGAACCTTAGGAGAAAAAGTTTCCTCATCCCAGATTTAACTGAATTTTGTAGTACCAGTTTTGCCATTTTTGCAATAATTTGGAGATAAGGCCAACATACGTGCAAATAAATACAAACTATTATTTTTTAGTTTGGGTAAAAACAAATAAAACTTATCATCTTAACCATTTCTAAGTGTACAGTTCAGAAGTGTTAAGTACATTCACACTGTTGTGAAACACATCCCCAAAACTCTTTTTACCTTGCAGAACTAAAACTCTATACCAGTCAAACAACTCCCCATTCCCTCCCCTCAGCCTCTGGCAACCATCATTCTAACTTTCTCTAAGTATCTCATGTAAGTGGCATTATACACTATTTGTCCTTTTGTGGCTAGCTTAGCATAATGTCCTCAAGATTCATCCATGTTGTAGCATGTGTCAAAATTTCCTTCCTTTTTAAAGGCTGAGTTATGTTCCATTGTATGTATATACCACATTTTGTTTATCCATTCATCTTTTGATGGGCACTTGGGCTTCTTCTACTTTTTGGCTACTGTGAACAATGCTGCCATGAACACAGGTGTACAAGTATGTTTTTAAGACCCTTCTAATACCTTTGGGTGTATACACAGAAGTGGAATTGCTGGATCATATGGTAATTCCATTTTTTTGAAGAATCACCAACCATATTGTTTTCCATAGTGGCTACACCATTTTACATTCCCACCAACAGTGCACAAGGGTTCCAATTTCTCCACATCCTCACCAACACTTTTTTTTTTTTCTTGAGGTGGTATCTCATTTGTGATTTTGATTTGCATTCCCCTAATGATTAGTGATGTTGAGCATCTTTTCACAAGCTTCTTAGCCATCTGCATATCATCTTTGGAGAATGTTCCCAAAGTCCTTTGCTCATTTCTAGTTGAATCATTTTTTATTGTCAAGTTGTAAGAGTTCTAGTAAGGGAGAATACATTCTGGATGTTAACCCCTTATCAGGTATTTATACGTATTTCCTCCCATTTCATGGATTTCCTTTTCACTTTATTTGATGAAATCTAGTTTGTGTCTATTTTTTCTTTTGTTGCCTTTGTTTTTGGTATCACATGTAGGAAATCAATGCCAAATTCAATGTCATGAAGAAGTCTTCCCCTATGTTTTCTTCTAAATGTTTTACAGTTCTAGCTTTTAGGTTTAGGTCTTTGATCCATTTTGAGTTAATTTTTATATGGCCTAAGATAAGGGTCTAATTTCATTCTTTCCATGTGGCTATCCAGTTTCCCCAATACCATTTATTGAAGAGACCTTCTGTTCCCTATTGAAAGGCCTTGACACCCATGTCAAAAGTGACTTGACTATAAATGAGGGGATTTATTTCTGGACTTTCTGTATGTCTCTCTTCATGCCACTACCACAGTTTTGATTACTACAGCCTTGTGGTAAATTTTGAAATCAGGTGTGAGACCTCCAACTTTAGCTTCTTTTTCAAGATTGCATTGGCCACTTGGGGTCCCCTGAGATTCCATATGTATTTAAGGATGGATTTTTCTATTTCTGCAGTCTTTCAGATTTCGATAGGGACTGCAATAAATCTACAGATCACGTTAGGTAGTACTGACTTCTAACAATGCTAAATCTGCTAATCCATGAATGTGGGGTGTCCCTTCCATTTACTAGTGTCTTTAATTTATTTTGGCAGTATTTTGTACTTTTCACTATACAAGTCTTTTGCTTCCTTGGTTAAGCTTACTCCTAAGTATTTTATTCTTTTTGATGCTACTGTAAATGGAACTGATTTCTTAATTTCCTTTAAATTACTCATTGTTGGAATATAGAAATGAAACTAATTTTTGGTGTTGATTTTGCATCTGCAACTTTATTAGTACTAACAGGGTTTTTTTGGTGGGAAATTTTTAGAGTTTTCTACATATGTTGTCTAGAAACAGAGATAGTTTTATTCTTTCCAATATGGATGCCTTTTATTTCATTTCTTTTTCTTGCCTAATTTCTCTGGCTAAGACTTCCAGTATTATGTTAATTAGAAGTGGTGAAAGCAGCCATCCTTGTCTTGGTCCTGATCTCAGAGGAAAAGCTTTCAGTCTTTCACCACTGGGTATGATGATGTTAGCTGTGGGCTTTCACATACAGCCCTTATTATGTTGTTGAGAATGCGAGCTATTACAAACATGTTCTTAGAAGGCAGATTTTCCTATATCCTGGTTTTACCCCTTAATCCATTCAAACTTATTTGGGCTCCTCCACAGATTTAATAGTTTGAGCCTCTTCATTTCATTATCATCTATATTTTGTTTCATTTTAGGGTGGCCACTCATAAAATTACCTAATAATTCCTGATGATCATCATCTTAATAATTGCCAACACTCACTGAGTACTTATTGTGAGCGAGACACTATCCTGAGCACCATACAGTCCTATGAGATAGACATTATGGTCTCCTCCTTACCGAATGGAGTTAACCTGTCCAAGGTAACATGGTCAGAAAGTGGTAGAATCAGGATTCAAAATCAGGCAGGTTGGCTCCAGTCTATTCTCTTACTACACCATATTGCCTCTTGCAATAAGCAGATCAACGGAAGGGGTGCCAGTTTCCATAATCTTCTTCAGAGAAGATGCTGTTGCCAATTTCCTAAAAGTATCTAAAAGCAGGGGACCCATCAGTGGAAGTGGCATACCCACCCACTGCAGCTGTGGTGAACTCCCTAGTGCAGGACATGTGAGTAGCTGCTTCCAAGACTGAGCGTGCACACTTCAACGTAATAGCATTTACTATATGTGGTATCCTTTGATGTATCGGGGAAACTGGATTCTTGCAGTACTCCAAAAGCGTGGTTCATAGATGATCTGCATCGTCAAAGGTATCTCTGGTTTCTGGGGCTTCCCCAGACCTACTCAAGTAAATCTCTGGTGATGGGCTCCAGGAATCTACACTTTCAAGTGATTCTCCAGTCACTCTTACATAAACTAGTTTGAGAGCCACTGCTCTGAACATCTGGTTGGCTCCCACCTCAGTGGTTGCCACGTGAACAGGCATACCTGTGGAGAGACTGTGAGCTGTCTGTTGGGCTTCAGACAAGCCTGACTGAAAAATGTGTAGACGTGGTTATGTTGCCTTCCAGGTGCTGCCAGGTTCCTCATTAAGGAGCTGTCATATCACAACCTAGAACTGGAGAGGAACCGCCTGGAGGAGCTGGGAGTTAAACGGCAGTGTGTCTGGCCTTTCATTGTTGTGATGGATGACTCGTGTGTCCTGTGGAACATTCACAGTATTCAGGAGCAGACCAGGTAGTGATACTTCCCAGCAGTTCTGGGAGAGTATGACACAATGCTATAGGGAAGATGATACTTTTTTTGGCTGCAGTTACATGTGGAAGTAAATAAGACAGAGACAGCTTTCTAGAGCAAAATGGTCAACTAAGGTCTACCCTAACTAGCACATTTTGTGATGACTTAAGAATTTTTTATGTAGACATTCACGATGTCATTCAATTCCTGGACCATTCTGGCATCATGGTGTTGGTTGGCTATAAAAGTCTGTTGAGACACGGATTTATCTGTTGACGTCTGAATCAGGAGCCCTGGTCTGTAGTCCCAGCTCTGCTTCTTGACGATCTGTATGAAAAGGGAAAGTCATTTCACCTCTCTGTACCTCAAGTCCATCACCTGTAAAATTATGGCTGGGCTAAAATCAGTGGTTCTCTTCCTGGGGCAGTGCTGCTCTCCTAGGGAGCATTTGGGGATGTCACAATGCTAGGGGGTGGTCCTCAGGGGGGTTGTGAAGACCAGGGAATGCTAAACATTTAAAAGTACTGTGCAATAAACAGCCCCTCAAATTCAGTAGTACTCCCTGCTTAAACACTGCCAGATAATCTCTAAGCCCCTTCCAGCTCAAATACTGTGATTTTGTGTCCTTGTTTCTACTATGGATTTAAAGCCAGTCAAGTTTTCAAATATTTATTTATTATACATAATTACCAGAACTGGGAAGTATATTTCTGTGCTTCTAACCTCTGGCTACCTCTCTTTGGTAACTCCCTACTCATTATTCACTTTGAAACACGGGCTGGATTTCTTTCTCTGCCCTAAAGTGATAAGCCTCACCTCCAAAAGGCAGCTTATTTAAGTTAACAGTGACAGGCAACGTGAAAACTGGGCTTGACATCCTCTTCCATTCCAGGCTAATACAAAGTAAATCAGCTGATTACATCCTTTACATTATCACTAGTGTATAGTAGTGTAGGCCCTTCACAAATGATCCTCTCTTCAGTAATATTTATTGACAGCTTATATAAACTAACTTCATATTTCATAGCCAGCCCATGGAAGCAGGAATTTCCAGTAAGAATGTGTCCTTGAAGAGTGTCTTGCAGCATATTGAAGCCACACCAAAAATTGTCCACTACGCACTCTTGGGCATACAGAAATGGAGCAGCAAGCTGACTTCTCAGAACCTAAAGGCCCCATTTTCTAGGTGCCACGTGCACGATTTCATTCTCCTCAACATAGATTTGACTCAGAATGTGCAGTATGATTTCAACAGGTAAGTTAGGCCTCACAGAACAAGTAAGTAATCCTGGCATCTACTGATTGTTTCTGCCCAGCTCTAGCCTCTGTAATGTTTTTAGTCCTCTGTCTCTGAGAAGCTGAGAAACTCTGTATATGGACAAGGAGAAAGAGGGGATCCTAAGTCCCAAAACATGTCCTTCAATCACCCTTCAAACTGACCTAGACCCTTAATAATAGCTGTTACAACATGAAATGCTTAGAAAACACACTTCAGCCATCTGATTATTCAGTAAGAACTAAAACAGGCACAAAACTACTGATTCAACACAGGCAGTGCGTGGACCCACAAACATGCAAGACTAAACCCTCATTCACCCGTAGAACTCAGAAGGAAATCATTTTCCCCAAGTATTAGTAAGACACAGAGATCTGGATCCCACAGGGAAAAGGCGGCAGATGGGGATAAGCACACTAGCCCTGGTCTTACCTCCTGAATAAATTACGTCCACATTCCTGAAAAATCTGAGAGGACCAAGGAAGAAAGGCAGGGACCATAAAGTCCCTATTATGCCAGCCCCGGACCCTGTGGCTATCAGAATAGCTGCTGCTTTCACTTCTGTGTTTTAACTTTGGCAGATACTTCATCCTGTTTGTAGCCAGAATTTTAAAACTAGAAGCACCTCTGCACTGCTGTTCTGCCCGAGTATACAGTATAGGAATACAGTCCTGGTTTTGCACAGGGACATCTAAAACCCTGTGGCATATCTGGGACAAAAATCACCTTACTTCCTCCTTCCTTTAATGCCTATAATGCCCAAATCAGGGTTTTCACAGGCCAGGGTTATGAGGGTGAGCTCCACCATCAAAGTAAGGTTCGATTATTTTAGGATCTCTCCCAACATCTGCCACACATATCTCTATGTATAGTTATCATGGTTGAGATGTGACACAGGCAGTCAAAGAAACCTATTGTTGTGATTATGATTTAGGTATTTCTGTGAAGATGTTGACTTTAACCTGAGAACAAACAGTAGTGGCCTGCTCATCTGCCGCTTTAATAACTTCAGTCTCATGAAGAAACATATTCAGGTTGGCGGGCAAAGGGACTTTATCATTAAACCAAAGATCATGGTAAGTTTTGCAAGCCTGATTTGAGTGTTGAAAATAAGCACAATGATATCTTATGAATATCTTTGTTATTAGATACTAGCATTGAGCACTTTCCACTTGATTAGAAAGTGAAGTAATACAACGGAGTTCTTAATGTCGAATCTGCAGTCTCATTTCTGTTACTGAGGACTCATGTAGCACCAAAACTTAAGTTTTGACAATTCAATGAAATTACTTTAGATTTAAGCCTTAACAATTCCATCAAAGCTTTAGTTTCAAGATGGCAAATGTTACATTTTTACATACTTTATGTTTGCCGTCCCCAACCCCAGGCTGCAGACCGGTTCCGGTCCGTGGCCTGTTAGGAACCGGACTGCACAGCAGGAGGTGAGTGGTGGGCGAGCGAGAGACTGAAGCTTCATCTGTATTTACAGCCGCTCCCCATTGCTCGCCATCTCCCCCCACCCCATCCGTGGAAAAACTGTCTTCCACGAAACTGGTCCCCGGTGCCAAAAAGGTCTGGGACTGCTGCCTTATGTGATACACGAGAGATATGTAAATCAAGATGCTAGTCTGGTCCTTCGCCAGAATTTTTTTTTTTTTAACAGATAGTAATACAGATCAAAACCTGTGAAGAGTGAATTCCACGGTCTACTCTTTTCTAAGAGATTTACTGGTATCCAGTAATTTGCAGCATGTGGACTACCCAGTGGAGCTTAGAAACCTGTCTTTTTTTTTAGTTGGGATGGGCTACAATTTGACTCAGACACACCCAGCGTCACTGTAAAACGCTGCCTATTGGATCTCACAGTGTACTTGTTAAATGTAGTTAACTTTCAAAAGAGCCTACTTTCCACCTTCTACTGCCCTTGCTGTGTGCAGCTTATGTTAAATCCTATTGTACTATTTATTATTCCCAAGAGGAAACAAAATTTCAGGACCCAAGAACCTAGCATCTGTCACTGTGCTACTATTATTTTGGGACTGTTAGGATACAATCCAGTTTCATCCAGTGACAGACACGTTTCCCATGATCATCTTGGCTCTGATTTCAGGTGTCAGAGAGCTTAGCACCCATCTTGCCCCTTCAGTACATCTGTGCTCCTGACAGTGAACACACGCTACTGGCGGCCCCTGCACAGTTTCTCCTGGAGAAATTCCTTCAGCACGCTTCATATAAACTCTTCCCCAAAGCCATCCGTAACTTCAAGAGTCCTGTGCTGGCCATTGACTGCTACCTTAACATTGGACCGGAGGTAAAAGGGGTGGTGGTTAGTGCTCTGCTTACTCACATCCACCTATTTCTTTCCCATTTTAGCTTTTGAAAAGTAGACACCAAAAATAGCCTGTGACACACTCACTCATGCAAAGGCTCACACAAGATGTGATGGCAACTCTCCCTCCTGATACCTATTTCATTTCTACGAAACCAGCCAGTGAACACTCGTAGCTTAGCTCAGATGTTAGCTCCTCCAAGAAGCCTACCTCGATGACCTGGGGCAGAAGTAGTTGCTTACTCCCACCTGCCTTCTTAACATTTATCAGATTATATTGTAATTATGTGGATTTTCTCCCTAAGATTGTGAGCTTTTCAAAGGCACACAATGTCTCAGCCACTATTCTAGGTGATTACATGTATACCACCTGAGCCCTTTATAGCTGGCATTTCTCCACTTCCTACCCCTGGACTTCTTTCTCAAGTTCTTTGCATGTTTTAGTTTTTTCAAAAATTGCCATTTGCATCTCCAGGCTCCTGCAACTAAGCTTTCCCTTAGGAATATTCTATTCTAGTCATTAATGTAATATATCCTTCTTGTAAAGAATTTTTTAAAATAAAGGTATAAAGAAGAAAATAAAATTACCTGTAACAGGAACATAACATTTTGGTATGCGACATTTCCTTCTGGGTTTTTTCTTTGTATATATTAACAAAAAACACATATATCTGTTACATACATTCTTTGAACACTCAAGTCCAACTGTGTTGGAAACTTAATTTTTAAAATGTAACAGTGTAAACATTTTACAATCTCATTTTTATGATGTTTCAATAATCTACACTGTGGATTGAGCCACAGATGGTATAATTTTAGAGATAAAAGAAACTTTAAAAATCATAAGATATAATAAAACCTACGGTATTTATCTAAGTTACATGTCTAACCCATGTCTCCCAATTCCTCTACCCTAGAATCCAGAGCCCTGGGTATTAGAAAACACAATCTCACTGCTACTAATAGCAGCTAACATTTACCCAATACTTACTAAGTGGTTTACATACATTATTTAATTCACCCAACAGTCCTATGAAACACGTACTATGTCCACAGATGAGGAAACTGAGGTATAGTAGAATGAAGGAAACTCTTCATTGTCACATGGCTAATAAATGGAGGAACCAGTATTTGAACCCAAGCAGACTGGCCCATGCATTTAGCCATCCCACCATTCGAATTCCTATCTTATTCAATTCCCTGTAATTTTTATGAAGTTACCTTATGTTAATGGAAGCCAGATAGAGGCAAAAATTTTAATTCATGAACTGTTTTAAGCATCAGTTGAAAATTTAAGTAAATTTAAATGAGAAGCTGATTAAAAATTTATTCTCATCAATAAGGTAATCTAAACATTTAATCTTTCCTAAGTATGCCTTTTGTGGAAGGTAATTTTCTTTTTCTTTTTTTATTTTTTGAGACAAAGTCTTGTTCTGTCTCCTGGGCTAGTGCTGTGGCATCAGCCTAGCTCACAGGAACCTCAAACTCTTGGGCTCAAGTGATCCTCCTGCCTCAGCCTCCCGAGTAGCTGAGACTACAGGCACATACCACCATATCCAGCTAATTTTTTTCTGTTTTTAGTAGGGACAGGATCTCCCTCCTGCTCAGCTGGTCTTGAACACCTGAGCTCAAGAGATTCTCCCACCTCAGCCTCCCAGAGTGCTAGGATTACAGGGGTGAGCCAACACGCCTGGCCCTAATTTTCTAATTTTATAAAAACTCTTAGATGGAGGGGCTCATTTTGTTTCTTACTAGTAACTTCTCTCATAATGGTCCTTTATTATGAGAAATAAACGAGGAGCTTTTTAAACAGGTTAAAACTTGGCACACTAAATAAAAAAGGTACAAAGCTTAAATAACCTACCCATTTAACACTGGAAAAAACTCATCTCCTTTACCTTACCCTGAAGTAGATAAAGATTCAACTAAACTGCAAACATTTTGCTTGCTCTTGAAATAAACACGCTCTTTCTGCTTGATGATTTCAGGTGGCCATATGCTACATCAGCTCCAGACCCCACTCCAACAATGTCAATTGTGAAGGGGTGTTTTTCAGTGGACTCCTCTTGTACCTCTGTGACTCTTTTGTAGGTGCTGATCTTCTTAAGAAATTTAAGTTTCTAAAAGGTAAATCAAATTTAATATCCTGATTATAAATGCTATTGGTTCCCACTGGATAAAATACAGAGGTCAAAGACATATTTTTAAAAAATATTTTTTAACACTGATTTTTGCCAATAATTTCAGTATTTTGCTTTTAAACCAGGGCCACTGATTTCCTTAAGTGGGGAGGGGGGATCAAGTTATTGACTAAGACTAAATGCAGATAAACAGCCAAGTTTGTGACCATATTAGATTTTTGCCACTATTAATTTAGAAAGGAATGATGTAATGCAAGAATACATAATACTTCTCATCTAATCGAGTTTTAGTAGAAATCAGGTTAATAAGTCTATGTATATAACTATATACACATTCTATAGTAATTTGAATATAACATTGCTGGGTCAGGAATCAACTGCAACAAATTTGTTTAACTGCATCCCCAGATATAAATCCCCTTAGTTATGATTCTGATACAGGAACTATAGTTGATTCAACAGGTATAAACCATGGAAAGAGACTGGCCTAAGAACAAACTACAGATTAAACATCATAAATAATCTTGACAAGATGACCTTTGTGTGTAGCATGAGAACAGGAGGGAACTGTGCATTTACTTGTATAAAGCACTTCTGGAGTAGTGGTTCTCATGGGGAGGGGGGAAGCAATTTTGCCCCCCCAGGAGACATTTCACAATGTTTAGAGACATTTTTGGTTGTCACACTGTGGGGTGCTGCTGGCATATAGTTGGCAGAAGCCAAGGATGCTGCTTAAACATCCTACAAGACACAGAACAGACCCCCCAACAAAGAATTAACCAGTCCAATAGTGCTGAGGTTGAAAAACCCCGATCTAGAGGAACATCAGAAACATAACATTGGTTATCACAGGGAAGGGAGACCACGGCTGGGAGATTGCTCACTTTAAACTACTGAATTTGTAAAACTACTTTTTCAAAACAAATAATAAAATTAAAAGGAACAAGTGATAGGTTACTTACCTATATGTTGGTTCGCGAATGTGTTAGCTTAGGAAACATAATCAGAGAAGTGGTAAGGTTCTTTATAAATTCAATCCCTAAGCCTAAGACACATTTCTGCCTTTTTTCCTGAAGGTGCTACCCTGTGTGTCATCTGCCAAGACAGAAGCTCCTTACGCCAAACAATTGTCCGCTTAGAGCTAGAGGATGAATGGCAGTTCCGTCTCCGGGATGAGTTTCAAACTGCTAACAGCAGTGATGACAAGCCTCTCTACTTTCTAACTGGACGCCATGTATGAGCTTTTGACAAGACCAAAAATAGCAAGGGGATGCCTGGGCGGGGTGGGACAGAAACAATTCTTTGGGATTTTTTTTCCTTTAAAGTACAATCACTGTGGAGCAAAGTGCAACATATTTTGTCTATTCTCCAAAGAACTCCCCAAATCTGACCCAGGTCTTTGGGGATATCACTTTCCTTCACTTCCAATTACAGGACCTTAAGTTCACGTAAACTCCACCCTAGGCAGTTATGCAATTAAGATATGGTCTGCCCATGGGATCCTAAGGAAGATATACTTTGGAGAATGAACATGGAGTTTGCATTGTTTTTTCTACTACACCATGTGAGGAGGAAACTGGCTTTCAGCATTAGCTAGCCTGAATGTGTTACATGAGACTCACACCAGTGGTGTGGAATTAATTGAAGATTAACATTTGAGGCCTGAATCCTCAGTTTCTCTTCAGATCTGTACTTTGGTACAGTATTACTCAGGGGTCTGAAATGACAGAATGTAGAAGATATTGGTATTTAAAAAAGAAGTAGCTTTGTCTTTCTCTGTGCAGTGTTAGTTTAAAATTTATAATCTTCTATGTATTGAAACTTTTGGCAAAATTTCCACAGGAGTTAAAAAAGTTTACTACTTAAACTGAACAAACATCAGTAAATGCAGAGCAGGCATCGTGTGCATTTATGCAGCTTCTCCTAGCTTAATTCCTTTGCTTTTCCCAGTCTTTAAGCACATCATGTCCACGAGAATATGGAACAGTGATTAATCTTGTGCAAGAACTGATAAAGTTGAGCCAATTAAAAAGGCAGTTAACCTGCACCCGCACCGTTTGGCTGGAATTAAGCAGATGGTACCAGCAAACCTAAATGTCAGGCTGAGGTTCTGTTGTGCAGTGGAACTAGTTCGTTTCCTTTCAGGGACTCAAGCAAAGCTGCCTTTAAAAGACACACTGAATATTAGCCACCTTACACTGACAACAAAACAAATTGCTGAAATGGGAAATAGAGCCATAGAAAGAGAGAGAAATGTTTTACTTAATCTTACCGGTGACTTCTTTTGTGAGGAGTAAGGAAGATTCTATAAATTTCTACAGATTTCTCACCAAATATTTTAATCAAAAACATTTTTAGAAAATGTTCTAGAACAAACTAAGTTTATGGGAAGTTTACTCCAATTCTCATCACTGAACAATCTCTTGAGATTTTTCATTAGCCCATATATACCACTCTAACCCCACTTAAAATGACCATTTTTACTTGAATCGATCTTGTTTGTGACCTGAAACTACTGAGGGGTCTACTAAGCCTGCATTTACTTAGAACAAATAGTGTTAATTGACCAGCTTTATCATCTTGTGTTAACAAGGAGTTTACAGCTAGTGAAATGATGGAATGTATTAGACTGAAAATGGTTTGCAGATCTCTTGGTTTTAATATAACTACATATGATGCTTTAAATGTATTTTGAAATGAACAATTCCTTTTAACCCCATTTTTAATTGTTCTTCAAAGAGGACCTGCCTTATATATGCTTTAAAAATACTCCTTAATTTTAGTACAGCAGAATTTTTAGCAAAGAGGTATGTTTTGAAGTTTGGTTTAGATATGAATGTATCTCACGTGTTCCTGTTTTGCTGAAAGGGCCTAATGCAGACAATATCAAGAAACCCACTGTTTGTGCAATATTCCAATATTATTTACTATGTAGGGCAGATAAAATACTTGAAATAATTCTAAAACAATTGTACCTGGGACAGATGGCCTCTCACGAGTTCTTCTGGCTTTATGACTTCATGGTCAAAAGAATGTTTTTTTAAAGTAGTTACATCAGATGCAGGTACTCCATATTAGTTAGGGCTGCACTCTGAAAATTCAAATGATTTTAAGCTCTTAAATACTATTTAAGTCTTTGGAGGAAAAATGCCCAGAATAAAGCCAAAAGACCGTCACCCCCGATCACGGAGAAACTGACCTGCCTATTCTTTTCAAAGCCTATCTTAGTAAGGTTTGGAGCTTTTAAAATCATCAGTATAATTCTTTACAGAATGTTAGGTCCTTCTTTAAGGATAAAATTGCACAAGCACAGGACACCATGATTTGTTAATATGTATCTTGGTGTGTTCAGCTTAAAGCTTTGCTATCCCTTAGAACGCTGATGTAGGTAAATGGATTCGCTAGGCCCACACAGTAACTCACCTATAGACCTGCTGAACCTCGGCATGTATGACAGTTCACACAGGTTAATACTGAATGTAAACTAAAAATTAGAATTGTTGTAGTCAATTTTTTTGGCTGTAATTTATGCAATTGCTTTTTGTGATTTTTAGAAAAGGGGGCACCTGTGTTACTTTATTACTGTAAAATTTTTCTTAACCAAAATTTGGTGAATTTCACTAGTCAGTCTACCTCACATTTTGCTTATGATTCTAAATTGTCTTGTGTCTACTGTATGTTCTTGTCCTTTCATTTAATCTAATGAATGTATTAAAATTCTCTCCCACCCCTCTCCAAAAAGTTTTTCTTCTTTATGCCAATTTTTCAGTATGTTAAAAAAATGGAACGAGCTCCCTGACTCTGGCAATGTCCAAGAAAAGCTGGAAGTCCCCATATTATAGGTTGGATGACTCTAAAATTCTAATATTCTAGCATAACAGTCCAAGAAAATGTGCTAAATATTTGCTTAATGAAAATCTGTAGCTTTTACAAAGCAGAGATACACACAAAATATCTATAGATCATGCCCATTTGAAGATTTCTATATAATTATAGATGACAGACTTATAAACTACTAAAGAGATGTTAGAAATATTCACAGTACATCTACAATCTTTTATTTTACTGATAGCAATTATACGCACTTTGATGTCCTTCTCAGAAACAGACCTTTGGGTTGCTAGAACTGTGTAGTATGATACAAGGTGTTACTGTTAAATCTCTAATTTATTTCCAAACTCTACCTAAACATTACTATCTTTTGAAAAGAAAGAACTTTGTTGTTCCACCAAAATGGCATTCAATCTATTATGTAAAGAGTAGTAAAATAACAGAATTTGACACAGAATCCATGAAAACACCTCTTCTAGGCCAAAAGCCCTTCGCCGTTAAAAAACCTCAGGAGGGCAATAAATATTTGTAAGTATGATGACATTACAGATTTCAAGGAAAAGCAGAGATTGCCAGTGTTCCACTATGTATTCCAAAGCAAGCGCCTTGAAAAGACTTAATTTTCAAGACTTAATTTTCTGCTGCATTTTCACATTCAACTACCTAGACCTGGAACAACATCCAGGGAACATTCATCAGGCTTCTCTATAGACATAGAAACTGCCCCTTAAGCTTCCTTGGTGTCTAGGAAACTATTGCTATAACACTGAAACCCTGGCTTCACTGAAAAAAACCACCACCAAAGATGCCTTCAGGAATGGCCTCTAAGGCCAAAGAAACAGTCATTCAATAATAAATTCACTGTGCTCTCAAATGAGAAGTACTGAGCTAAAGCATCTAAGTCAGTTACTATGACACAGATGATGTAAGGAAAAAGAAAAAAAGCAACACCAGTAAGTTGTTTTCTGACCACTTCATGCCATGTATTTGTACTAGGAGGGTGGGGGTGGGGGCTGCCATAAGACAGAACCCATCTCTTTTTCTGCCAAAAGGCTCAGGAGCCATGAAAAAGATAGAAGATGTATGTCTGTAGTCACTACCCCAGGAATCAACTCAGTAATCTTAACCCTAGGTGAAATGGGGATGGGCAGGCATACAGTTATGTTTCTATACAGAGGGATCAGACTCCCTAGCTGGGCAGCCATGCAAAGCAAGAACAATTAAAATATCACCACAGGTCTGCTATACTCACTGACTGTCCTTAACAATAGTCATGCTTTCAGTAGATATACCAAGTTCACGCTTGCATTTTATGAATTAGTAAAATATTGCTATGCATAATTCTTGCCAAATAAAACTGTTAGGCGTCCAAGCAGATAAGGGCCTCACCTATAAAATCTGTCTATATTTGTGGCTCCTATAATGTCTATGCTAGACATTTTTATAAAGGACCAACAACTGAGGGCTACTAACAAAAAATTTATAGGTACCTTTATATACTCAGCAATTACAGAATCACCCTCTTTTGAAGTCTGTGACCATTAGTGTATACTCACTGTGTCCATTGCTGCCTCCACCACTCCATAGAGACTGCTCTTTTTTTAACATCACTTGGACTGTCTTCAGTCTTCAACTGTGGTATGACAGCATTGGCCATCCTTCGATTCTTGAAATTCTTCCCTTCGTTTCTACCACTCTCTTCTGGCTCTTTTATCTTGCTCATGCCTTCCCGGGTTCTCTTGAGACTCTTAAATGATGGCATTCCTCACAATCTCTCCTACTTTCTCAGTTCGCAGACCCCAGGGTGATATCTTTTAAACCTTCAAATAACTAAACTCATAAATTTATTCATTCAGTCCAAACTTCTCTCCAACTCCAGATCCACCTATCCAATTATATACTAGATAGATATCTTCATTTGGAGACTCTATAATCACCTTAAAATCTTGACCAAAGCTGAGCTCATCCTTCCCCATCCAATCCTCCCCAAGCTAATTAACCTGTATTCCCATCTCAGTCAATCCATCTACTCAATTACCCACACCAAAATTTCCACTTACCCTAGATTCTTTGCCATGCTCTTTTTCTGGTCAGTTATAAACTCCTATCAATTCTTCAATTATATCTTTTCAATGTGTATCTGTCTCTCCATCTTCATCCCCACATCACAGCTATAGTTCAGTGTTTCAACATTTTTCACACAAACTGCTCTTAATTATCTTCTAAGTTCCAGATTCCTCACTTATTTGTAAACCTTACCTCCTAGGGTTGTCATGATGATTGCAAAAAATAATGTAGCATTAAGCACAGGGTCTAACACATAGCAAACATTCAAATGTCAGGTATCACTAATACTATTCTTAGAGACATAAACTGTAAAATTTATTTGAGAGGCCATATCTTCAACATAAACATGAAAATAAACTGTTTTCCCAGTAATGGCAACATTTAATCCAATCAATATAACCTCTCTACCCCCAGGTCTCCTTGAAACCAAGTCAAGAGTAGTATACTAACGGCTTTTATGAAAACTAGACCTATATTATGAGGTTAACAGTGACTAGAGAGTCTACAACATACCCCACAATTTCATTTTGTTTTTTAAAAAACCATAGTACCTGGCAGGCTAGGGGTAACTAGAACAGTCTCAAATCCAAAGGGAAATGACAGTGTCAAAAGCCAAACCATCACGGTGAGTCAGAGTAAATATTTACACTGCCTTACCATTCTACCCATATAAATAGTATAGAGTCTTAAACAACTCTATATATTTAAAAAGCACAAATCTATAGGGGGATAAAATGTACACCTGTTGAGACCCTAAATTTTAGCCAGTTTTCAGTGATAA